ACAAGCTTTCTTCTTCCTGATACTTGGCTGGGCTATCTCAGAGAAGGCGCACAATAGCAAATAATTCTCCATGGTTTGTTTTGTGCACTTCCAACTGAACCATTGAATACGGCTTGTTGCACGCTTTCGTGTACAGCATCATCCTCATTGGATAGCTATTTGTAACGATACTCATGTCACAGCGCATGAGCATCTTGTTCACAAAGCAAAGCGTGGAGCATTATTTGCTATTGTGCACCTTCTCTGTGATAGCACAGCGACGTATCAGGAACAAAAAAGTTTGTGCCACTAAACACTCTTGTCAACTATTTTAAGCAATGAGTGGAAGCTCAAAACAACAACTTGAGTCACTCTTGTTTGCAAGACGTAAGTACCATGACCATTAGCTGTTCAGTTGGAATGATGCGGTACATGAATCCGTACAACAAGCTGTTTTCAAGGGTTCAGATAGAAGCACACAAAACAAAGTGTGGAAAATTATTTCCTCTTGTCCACCTTCTCAGTGATAAACACTGCCAAGTATCACCGACAAGCATTCTTGTGCCACAAAAACACTCTCATGAACCATTTCAAGCAATACACAAAAACTCAAAATAAAAAATTGAACCCCTTTTATTTGCAAGACATGAGTACCGTTACAAATAGCTGTCCAATCAGCATGATGCTGTACATGCAAGCATACAAGCCGTTTTGAAAGGTTTAGATAGAAGCGCACAAAACAAAGCATGGGGAATTATTTCCTCTTGTGCACTTTCTGAGTGATAAACACTCCCAAGTATCACAGATAAGCATTCTTGTGCCACAAAAACACTCTCATGAACCATTTCAAGCAATACGTAAAGACTCAAAATGAAAAATTGAGCCCCTTTTATTTGCAAGACATGAGTACCGTTGCAAATAGCTGTCCAATCAGCATGATGCTGTACATGCAAGCATACAACAAGCCGTTTTGAAAGGTTCAGATAGAAGCGCACAAAACAAAGCGTGGAGAAATATTTCCTCTTGTCCACCTTCTGAGTGATAAACACTGCCAAGTATCACAGACGAAAATTCTTGTGCGACAATAACATTCTCATCAACCATTTAAAGCAATACGTGGAAACTTAAAATGAAAAATTGAGCCCCTTTTGTTTGCAAGATATGAGTACCGTTGCAAATAGCTGTCAATCGGCATGATGCTGAAGATGCAAGCATACAACAAGCCGTTTTGAAAGGTACAGATAGAAGCGCACAAAACAAAGCGTGGAGAATTATTTACTCTTGTCCACCTTCTGAGTGATAAACACTGCCAAGTATCACAGACAAGCATTCTGGCGCCACAAAAACACTCTCATGAACCATTTCAAGCAATACATAAAAACTCAAAATGAAAAATTGAGCCCCTTTTATTTGCAAGACATGAGTACGTTGCAAATAGCTGTCCAATCGGCATGATGCTGTACATGAATGCATACAACGAGCTGTCTTGAAGGGTTCAGATAGAAGCACACAAAACAAAGAGTGGAGAATTATTTCCACTTGTCCACCTTCTGAGTAATAAACAAAGCCAAGTATCACAGATAAGCATTCTTGTGCCACAAAACACTCTCATCAATCATTTCAAGCAATAACTGGAAACTCAAAAGGAAAAATTTAGCCCCTTTTGTTTGCAAGACATGAGTACCATTGCTAATAGCTGTCCAATCGGCGTGATGCTGTACATGCAAGCATACAACAAGCCGTTTTGAAAGGTTCAGATGGAAGCGCACAAATAAAAGCGTGGAGAATTATTTTCTCTTGTCCACCTTCTGAGTGATAAACACAGCCAAGTATCACAGCCAAGAATTCTTGTGCCACAAAAACACTCTCATCAATCATTTCAAGATACCTGGAAACTCAAAATGAAAAATTGAGCCCCTTTTATTTGCAATACATGAGTACCATTGCGAATAGCTGTCCAATGGGCATGATGCTGTACATGCAAGCATATAACAAGACGTTTTGAAAAGTTCAGATGGAAGCGCACAAAAGAAAGCGCGGAGAATTATTTCCTCTTGTCCACCTTCTGAGTGATAAACACAGCCAAGTATCACAGACAAGCTTTTTTTTGCCACAAAAACACTCTCATGAACCATTTCAAGCAATACCTGGAAACTCAAAATGAAAAATTGAGCCCCTTTTGTTTGCAAGACATGAGTACCATTGTGAATAGCTGTCCAATGGGCATGATGCTGTACATGCAAGCTATACAAGAAGTTTTGAAAGGTTCAGATGGAAGCGCACAAAAGAAAGCGTGAAGAATATTTTTCTTGTCCACTTCTGAGTGATAAACACAGCCAAGTATCACAGACAAGCATGATTCCCTGAATGTACAAATTCGTGATGTGTGTCCTTTGATCATAGAACCTAAATTCACAGATATTGTCTACCACAATAATTTTCCGAACCACGCGAAATTATTACCTCATGGAACTTTAAATGGACTATTGCAAGAGCATCTAAATAATCCGCCAACAAGTGTGGTTATTCCAACATATGCATCGCAAACTGAGGGAAAAGCTGGCTTGGAATATTCTGCCCTCAAACTGACTGGTCCTTTTCGTTACGACTGCCGGATTTTATTCCACTTTTATAGCTGAATTTATGGCCATAATATTAGCCCTCCAAAGTTACCCAGTTTAAATGCAGTAGTAGCAATCATCATTGACTCATTATCTTTGTGTTCTTCTCTCTCGGCATCTGGGGAGACGCCTTTTCTAAAGGTTTTCAGAATACTAGTTCCCACGAACCTACAATATCTCCACTTAATTTGGATACCAGGACACAAAGGTTTGTTTCTAAATGAAAACAGTGATTTTTCAGCAAATGCGGTGCTTTTGATGCCAATCATTTCGGTTTTCCCACTGACAACACACATTACATTTGAACAATTTCACACCTTTAGTTTCAAAAATTGATTATCAGACCTTGTCTTGACAGCTTCTCCAGAATATAAGCGCTTATGGTTTTCCTGGAGCAGTTAGTTATTGCGTTCGAGAATAATGGAAGTGGCTCTAATCAAACTTCGCTGCCGGGTTACCTCCCACTAGTTTCACCT